CTACTATACCCTTGTGACTGAACTCACTACTATACCCTTGTGACTAAACTTACTACTATACCCTTGTGACTGAATTCACTACTATAACCTTGTGACTGTACTTACTACTATACCCTTGTGACTGTACTCACTACTATACCCTTGTGACAGTACTCACTACTATACCCTTGTGAAAGTACTCACTACTATACCCTTGTGAAAGTACTCACTACTATATCCTTTTGACTGAACTCACTACTATACCCTTGTGACTGCACTCACTACTATACCCTTGTGACTGAACTCACTACAATCGTGATGTCAGTAAAACTGTATTGTACCCAAGGATTACAATTATTCTAAGCGTGGTATTTTATATATGATGATTATTGAAGGCGAGGGTATAACTTGTTATTTAATTATAGTAGCTACCGGCATCAATTGCATTACCATTATTGTAAGTGAGGGTATTACATGTATCATTATTGTAAGTGAGTGTATTACATGTATCATTATTGTAAGTGAGGGTATTCAGGTATCATTATTGTTGGGAGGGTATTACATGTATCATCTTTATTGTTTGGAGGGTATTACATGTATCATCATTATTGTTTGGAGGGTATTACATGTATTATCATTACTGTTGGGGAGGGTATTCAGGTATCATCATTATTGTAGGGAGGGTATTGCATGTATTATCTTTATTGTTGGTAGGGTATTACATGTATTATCTTTATTGTTGGTAGGGTATTACATGTATTATCTTTATTGTTGGGGGGTTATTACATGTATCATCATTATTGTTGGGAGGGTATTCCTTTATCATCATTATTGTTAGTGAGGGTATTACATGTTTCATAATTGTTGTAGGGAAGGGTATTCAGGTATCATCATTATTGTAAGTGAGGGTATTAAATGTTTCATAATTATTGTAGAGGAGGGTATTCAGGTATCATCATTATTGTAAGTGAAGGTATTACATGTTTCATAATTATTGTAGAGGAGGGTATTCAGGTATCATCATTATTGTAAGTGAGGGTATTAAATGTTCTTGTATTATAAGTATTGTAGGGAGGGTATTTCATGTGTTATCTTAATTGAAGGGGGTATTATATTTATTATCTTTATTGTAGGGAGGGTATTCCATGTATAATCTTCATTGTAGGAAGGGTATTTCATGTGTTATCTTAATTGAAGGGGGTATTATATTTATTATCTTTACTGTAGGGAGGGTATTACATATGTTATCTTTAAATACATTTATTTCATTATTGTAGCGAGGGTATTACATTCATTATCTTCATTGTAGGAAGGGTATTAAATGAATTATCTTTATTGTAGGGAGGGTATTTCATTTATTATCTTTATTGTAGGGAGGGAAATACATAAATTATCTTTTTTTATATTTATTTCATTATTGTAGCTAAGGTATTACATGTATTATCTTTATTGTAGGGAGGGTATTACATGTATTATCTTTATTGTAGGGGGGGTATTGCATGTGTTATCGTTATTGTACGGAGGGTATTACATATATTATCCTTATTGTAGGGAGGATATTACATTTTTTTTTTATTGTAGGGATGGTATTACATGATCATCATTATTGTAGGGCGGATATTACATGTATTATCATTATTGTTGGGAGGGTATTACATGTATTATCATTATTGTTGGGAGGGTATTACATGTATCATCATTATTGTACGGAGGGTATTACATGTATAATCTTTATTGTAGGGAGGGTATTACATGTGTTATCTTTATTGTAGCGATGGTATTTCATTTATTATCTTTTTTGTAGGGAGGGTATTACATTTATTTCATGATTGTCGGGAGGGTATTACATTTATGTCATTATTGTAGGGAGGGTATTACATTTATGTCATTATTGTAGGGAGGGTATAACATGTATTATCTTTATTGTAGCGAGGGTATTACATATATTATATTTATTGTAGGGAGGGTATTACATGTATCGTCATTATTGTTGGGAGTGTATTACATGTATTATCATTATTGTAGGGAGGGTATTTCATGTGTTATCTTTGTTGCAGGGAGGGTATTAGATGTATTATCTTTATTGTAGGGAGGGTAATACATGTATTATCTTTATTGTAGCGAGAGTATAACATGTATACTCTTTATTGTAGGGAGGGTATTACATGTATTATCTTTATTGTAGGGAGGGTATTACATGTGTTATCTTTATTGTAGCGAGGATATTTCATTTATTATCTTTTTTGTAGGGAGGGTATTACATATATTATCTTCATTGTAGGGAGGGTATTACATTTATTTCATTATAGTAGGGAGGGTATTACATTTATTTCATGATTGTAGGGAGGGTATTACATGTATTATCTTTATTGTAGGGAGGGTATTACATGTATTATCTTTATTGTAGCGAGAGTATAGCATGTATACTCTTTATTGTAGGGAGGGTATTACATGTGTTATCTTTATTGTAGCGAGGGTATTTCATTTATTATCTTTATTGTAGCGAGGGTATTACATTTATTATCTTTTTTGTAGGGATGGTATTACATTTATTATCTTTTTTGTAGGGAGGGTATTACATTTATTATCTTTTTTGTACGGAGGGTATTACATTTATTTCATTTTTGCCGGGAGGGTATTACATTTATGTCATTATTGTAGGGACGGTATTACATTTATTTCATTATTGTAGGGAGGGTATTACACGTATTATCTTTATTGTAGCGAGGGTATTACATGTATTATCTTCATTGTAGGGAGGGTATTACATTTATTTCATGATTGTAGGGAGGGTATTACATGTATTATCTTAATTGTAGGGAGGGTATTGCATGTTTTATTTTTATAGTAGGTAGGGTATTACATGCATTATCCTAATTGTAGGGCGGGTTTTACATTTGTTATCTTTATTTACATTTATTTCATCATTGTAGCGAGGGTTTTACATGTATTATCTTTATTGTATAGATGGTATTACATGTATTATCTTTATTGAAGGGAGGGTATTACATGTATCATCATTATTGTAGGGCAGATATTACATGTATTATCTTTATTGTAACGAGGGTATTACATATATTATCATTATTGTATGGAGGGTATTAAATGTATTATCATTAGTGTAGGGAGGTATTACATGTATCATAATTATTGTAGGGAGTGTATTACATGTTTTATCTTTATTGTAGGGAGGGTATTACATGTATCATCATTCCTGTAGGGAGGTTATCACATGTATCATCATTATTGTAGCGAGGATATTACATGTATCATCATTATTGTTGGGAGGGTATTACATGTATTATCTTTATTGCAGCGAGGCTATAACATGTATAATCTTTATTGAATGGAGGGTATTACATGTGTTATCTTTATAGTAGGGAGGGTATTACATGTATTATCTTTATTGTAGGGCGGGTATTACATATATTATCTTAATTTACATTTAATTCATTATTGTAGCGAGGGTATTACATGTATTATCTTTATTGTAGAGAGGGTATTACATGTATTATCTTTATTGTAGGGAGGGTATTACATGTATCATCATTATTGTACGGCGGATATTACATGTATTATTATTATTGTATGGAGGGTATTACATATATTATAATTATTGAAGGGAGGGTATTACATGTATCGTCATTATTGTTGGGAGTGTATTACATGTATTATCATTATTGTAGGGAGGGTATTTCATGTGTTATCTTTGTTGTAGGGAGGGTATTAGATGTATTATCTTTATTGTAGAGAGGGTATTACATGTATTATCTTTATTGTAGCGAGGGTATTACATGTATAATCTTCATTGTAGGGAGGGTATTACACGTATTATCTTTATTGTAGCGAGGGTATTACATTTATCATCTTTATTGTATGGAGGGTATTACACGTATTATCTTTATTGTAGCGAGGGTATTACATATATTATCTTCATTGTAGGGAGGGTATTACATTTATTTCATTAGTGTAGGGAGGGTATTACATGTATTATCTTTATTGTAGGGAGGGTACTACATGTATTATCTTTTTAGTAGGGAGGGTTTTTCATGTGTTATCTTTATTGTAGGGAGGGTATTACATTTATTTCATTATAGTAGGGAGGTAGTACATGTATTATCATTAAAGAGAGGGTATGACATTTGTTATCATTATTATAGAGAAGGTATTACATGTATTATCATTATTGCAGGGAGGGTATTACATGTATTATCATTATAATAGAGAGGGTATTACATGTATTATCATTATTGTTGGGAAGGTATTACATGTATTATCATTACTATAAAGAGGGTATAACATGTATTATCATTACTATAGAGAGGGTATTACATGTATCATCATTATTGTAGGGAGGGTATTACATGTATTATCATTACTATAGAGAGGGTATTATATGTGTTATCATTATTAAGCTTCAATATGGCAAGCTGTAGTAATAATGACATCAGCTCCCATAGCTATTCAGTTATTCTTGCATTGGTCAGGAACACTTTAAATATTTCTGGGGGGGTTTGTTAGAAAAAAGAAGCATTGCATTAGTGTTCATTTCACTTTAAATCCTGGTGAATTCTTCAAATACATATTTTCAATGGCACGAAATCCAGATATTATTTGTAAAATAGACTTGCTTATGATTTTCTTCATTTCTGACCTGATACAACATTAACATTTACTGCCTCCATCAATGTTTGATCAAGCTCACCCACACTGATTACATGGTGATAACAACTAGAGTCCTTCCTTTCCTTTTATCAACTGATGCCAGTTGAAATGTTTTCCTGAGTATGAGATAGATATAGGCAGTCTGTTAGACCTGCTTTCAGATCCAGTGAACATTTTTTATCCAATGTAAGGAGTAAGTTTAGACACAGCTCTAGTTCCAGACCTAATTTGAGTTTACGACAACTTGACTGGCATTATCTCACAGGCTGTAGACTTTAACAGTTGCACACTTGTAAAAAAAACTGCTTCAAAATTTTCAAGCATTGGGTTGAAAAAAAAGAAGATACACAAACAACTTGAGATCAACATAGCAATTTATTACCTTTTTTCAAACAAGAAAGAATACTATTATGCAAATTAAAACTTTATGGTATGTCTGGGGTAACTCAAGCAGCCCCATTACTATGGTCTAGGCACATGGCACGACGTTCAGTCCTGGATAAGGAACTTGTGTTTGACATACAGGGCCACTACACGTGTTGGAAGCCTTCATGCTTTGAAAGGTTGTTAATCAACCTACAAAACTACTGTATGTAAATACTTAACATGTACGACTTAGGGGGAGAAATCAATACAAGTTACAAATTCATTCATTAATCTTATGGAATGGCATTATTACAGCAATCCATCATCTGCGATTGGAAAATGCCACCACAGGTGACAGGAGGAGATAGATGAGAGGGTTCACTTTAAGTTTTTTTTACCGCTTTATCACAATTGTTTATTGGTACACAAGTTCTTTATCCATGATTGTCAATGAATTTGAAAAATAAACTAAGAAAACCATGTCATCTCAATAGCATAATGCCCAAGTTGAGCAGCAAATTAAAACAGATCTACAGGGCATTGTTATTGGACACGTCTAAAAGGTAGAAATAATTACTAAATCAAACTGGGTATAAGATGACTAGAATCCATATTGATATATGTCACTCAAGCTAGAACTATCACACTGTGTGTCTATACAAACCAGGATATCTAAAGCTCAGTATAGCCTTTAAGTCTGTGTTTGACACAGAACTATATATATATTAAACAACACTTGGCATTCATACACCCACCTCATAATGTAGGCCCAAAAAACCTCAACATAATCAACTTAACTTCGGACTCAAATTTTCCAAAAGTTTACATTGAAGGATGACCTTTGTTTAAAATACATGTCTTTCCACTAAAAACTGCATGTAAAACATTTTTCATAAAATAAGTAAAAGCTTTATAGGACAAGATAGGTAATGTTTCAGTCAATCAACATGAAACATTCTATTTCTAAAATGTTTATGCTATAAAAAAAAAATGGGAAATAACGAACAGGGTAAATTCATATGAATTGTCCAAATTTACTTTTGAAATGAAAATGAAAGTTCTGACTCAAATGAATTATTCACACATTTCAACACTTGAAGATCTGTGTGACTAATATTTTCAATCTCCAAAGGACTGACCTGAATTTGGAAAAAGATAAAAATTCTCGTTAAGATTAGGCAATGGTAGCCATGGCCTCATTAATTTCCATAGTTGATCTAGGTACAGATGTGGACCCAGTACACAGTTACTCTACAACTCCTACAGTAGATATGACACAACATGAAGTTGTATGTATGTATCCAGTACACAGTTACTCGACAACTCCTACAGTAGATATGACACAACATGAAGTTGTATGTATCCATTACTACAAACCAATCATACTTGTGCAAATCTCACTTTCATTAATTGATCATAAAATGTATAGGGAAGCTGATATCTACAGTATAAACAATGCCAACAGCTGCATTTCTATGTGAGAAATATCATTCATTAGCAGAAATCTGTTTCTCTGCTGGTTTTGAAACATAACCTTGTCTCCTGTGCGTTACCAAAAGAGGATAGTCTGTACTTGATTAAAGGTCAACTCACAATGATAGGAGGGAAACAATGTCTTCAGTAAAATAATATTTTAATACAATGGCACAAGAATTGTTTTGTTGTTATCCTCTTTGTTCGATCCCACAAAATAAGGATGACTGATGGTGATCTGCTCAGCGTAGTCTAACTATAAAATTGTGTTTTCAGACCAAATTGCGTTTGTAAGGCACTACCTCAGCAATAGTACCAGAACCACCTGAAAACTCATGTTTTCCTTCTCTTCCTAGTAAGATATTGTTTACTCTGTCGTCAGTCATTAGGTTGAGGAATACTAACAATTTTCAGTATTGATGACGACAACACTATTCAGTTAAAAGAGCTAGCCATGACTTTTTTCTTGTTCCTTTAATGTAATTAATTTCAATGATTGAATGTGGGTTTATAAACCTCTCAAATCATACAAGAAATAAAACTTCGTTAAAAAAAATTACCTATCCATTCTTAGAGAGTAAAATAAAAGTTGTCTCAACCATTTTACATAATACATTTTATCTGCATCTCCTCAGCTGTCTGTCATGTTTGAATATTTTGAAAACATATGTACAGAAAGGCACAACATTTAGGGCAAAACATATTGGTCCCTCTACAGCACATAGTTGAGTGTACAAAAGAGTACTGGGACAATGGATGAGGGGTTCTATCATAGTCACACAACAACATTTATATCTGTTCCCCTTGAACAGTCTTGTGAGTTAAGATACATGCCACTTTTTATCTCAAAAATTACATTTCACCTTATCTTCTTAATTGAAGTTACGTGCATATTGACAGGCTTATAGCAAGCAGTGCTCCACTTGTACCAAAACAGTTGTTTACCTTACAGTCACAGGTTAAAACAGTACAATCTGAGAAAATCAATGATAAGCTGATAACATAACCTATCAATCAAGCTGATAATAAAAACATCATAACTGTAACACAATTGCTAGGTACATCCACCTAAGGCTGTTTGTACACACTAGGTTAGGGATAACCTCCCCTCCTCAGGGTTCTGTACTAGTCCTCTAGTCAGAAAGTAGTCCATTTCAGAAAGATTATCATCTAGTCCAATTGGTCCTGATCAGAATAACATTTGGCTGTTACATTAACTGGTAAATATATATACTACCATTTGGCTGTTACATTAACTGGTAAATATATATACCTTTCCAGAAAGCTGAAAATACAGGAATACTGAGTGTTGGTTGCAAAGTTTTCTGCGATATCACCCTACTTCCTTTACACTAGGAAGATTTGATGTCCATGACAGCTACCTAGTTCAGTAAAATACTTTGTGCTGGGTATGTTATAACTACAGTAGCCAGATCTCTGATCGTCTAGGTGAATACTTAGTGCTGGGTATGTTATAACTACAGTAGCCAGATCTCTGATCGTCTAGGTGAATACTTAGTGCTGGGTATATTATAACTACAGTAGCCAGATATTGAACCCAATAACTGTGAAGAAGGACTAGTGAATTCAACTAGTCACCAAGACTAAAATGTTTACGTAGTGTCTTTAAGGTCACAGGAAACACATAGATTTAAAACAAGTTTCTTCCAACTCTTTTCAGAAACTGCAATAAAATTGGGATCTTGACTTCATGCTCAGCGTTTATCTGAAATAATTCCAAATTTCGTGACTTTTTACAGAATGGAGTGTTTTTTAATTTTGAACTGAAGTATTTCTATACTTGATTTGGTTATACCACAAACTGTAACAGACTAAGTGTCAGGAATATGGGTGAGATTCTTCATATATCAACAACATGCATACATAAGGAGCAGAAAAACAGCAACAGATGTAAGCATAAGGCAATTAACATAATAATCATATAACATTTATCACTAAATGATAAAAACAGTTTGATAAAAAGTCAACCACATTGATTAAAAAAACTGTATAGCTGTACACATTAGAGTGATGCCTACACTAAACCTCCCTCCCCATGTCTCTGTAGGGTCAGTGGAAACACTCACACTACAGTGTACGTACTGTATAGCTGTACACATTAGAGTGATGCCTACACTAAACCTCCCTCCCCATGTCTCTGTAGGGTCAGTGGAAACACTCGCACTACAGTGTACGTACTGTATAGCTGTACACATTAGAGTGATGCCTACACTAAACCTCCCTCCCCATGTCTCTGTAGGGTCAGTGGAAACACTCGCACTACAGTGTACGTACTGTATAGCTGTACACATTAGAGTGATGCCTACACTAAACCTCCCTCCCCATGTCTCTGTAGGGTCAGTGGAAACACTCGCACTACAGTGTACGTACTGTATAGCTGTACACATTAGAGTGATGCCTACACTAAACCTCCCTCCCCATGTCTCTGTAGGGTCAGTGGAAACACTCGCACTACAGTGTACGTACTGTATAGCTGTACACATTAGAGTGATGCCTACACTAAACCTCCCTCCCCATGTCTCTGTAGGGTCAGTGGAAACACTCGCACTACAGTGTACGTACTGTATAGCTGTACACATTAGAGTGATGCCTACACTAAACCTCCCTCCCCATGTCTCTGTGGGGTCAGTGGAAACACTCACACTACAGTGTACGTACTGTATAGCTGATCAGTATCTTACACGGTCGACAGTGTTACAGCACTATAAGGATTGTCATGTACATTCAGGTGAGATATGTACCGTAATGGACAACACAAGTTGTATATTCATATATCAGAATATATACATGAATATGTAGGTAGTGAATGGAGACATCAACCAATAGCAGAGACTTGGGTTATTACCTAGATCTACAGTCAATAAGTTTAACTACACATCATTTAATGGCATTGATTAAAATCAGTTTTAAAATATTCTCACTCAGAGACTCTTATGTAAAAGAGTTGTTGTTAAATTGCATGTTTTGATTTTCCTATGATATATTAAAATACAGGTATACAGTTGCTGATTATGAAATACTGATGCATGATCTTTTGTAAGGAATTTCAAAAATATAAGCCATAAATCTACAGGCCACCTGGCTTTGAAATGACCTTGTGCTTTAAGGAGAAGCTGCTCAATGTAAGTGTAGTATAATATAACCTGCATGGCTTGTCTTGGTACAAAAAGCTATGTGTCCTAAAACAAAATCCTTGATTATGCTACCAATGATCACCACAACTGGGGTAGCTGAAGGGAGACAACCTAAACCTCTTCTTCTGTTATAGTTCCAAGGCAGAAACACCTAGGTATACGTATGACACAATGAAATAATAATGATGGATCCAATTCATTTATTTAATTTAAGAAATTCATGAGCAATAATTTTTACACCAAAATGATATGAAAAATTATGATGTCATCTATGTATGTAGGTACTACATAAGTACTATCCAATTTCTTATTGACATCCTACAGTTTTTTCATAAAGTAACTGTTATGTTTATTCACTGTGACATTGACCCCAGTGGCAGTTGTTAAGAAATATTGCTACCGAAAAGATTTACTGGTTTGCTTATATATACAACAGCTACATACTGAGGGGAGGGAGGGAGTGATCCACGCTGACAAGTCCTAGGTGTTCCCTTGACAATGTAAAAACTGTTGATGTTCAGCTTTAAACAACAAAATCAGTCCTTCTCCAATAATGTTTAAATTAATCCAAAGACAATAAGTTTTATGCATAATTGATATTTTGTTTAAATAGAAATATTAGGTGAAGCTGTGCTACAAGTTATACATGTACTTTAGCATGAGTGAGCAATTTGATAATGGAATAGTCATGGTGATCCCTTGTAACAATCTAAACATTACATAGACACTGCACCAACAGTGAGTGGTTTGACCTTTACAGTACTTCAAGTGCTGTATATGTCATACTATTACAGTGAGAGGTTTGACCTTTACAGTACTTCAAGTGCTGTATATGTCATACTATTACAGTGAGAGGTTTGACCTTTACAGTACTTCAAGTGCTGTATATGTCATACTATTACAGTGAGAGGTTTGACCTATACAGCACTTCAAGTGCTGTATATATCATACTATTACAGTGAGAGGTTTGACCTATACAGTAGTTCAAGTGCTGTATGTCATACTATTACAGTGAGAGGTTTAACCTTTACAGTATGTCATACTATTACAGTGAGTGGTTTGACCTATACAGTACTTCAAGTTCTGTATATGTCATATTATTACAGTGAGAGGTTTAACCTTTACAGTATTACAAGTGCTGTATATATCAGAAAATCAGGCATTTCATCCAAATGTTGTCTACCCTAATTGTACCACAACATCAAGTCACCATTACAGTGTACCACTTAAATTTTTGCAACATTTTTCAAAATTATCATAGCAAATTGACATATATATGTTGCTAGAACAAATTTGCATTGTTTAATTTTGTGAAACAGATCAAATTTCCTAATTTTTTTCATGTCATGATTCGAGTGTAAAAAAGGTGCCTAGACGGCTTAAGCACCAACCCTGACAACTATCATGAGTTTTAAGCTAAATATAACCACTGAACAATTTCTATGACCTGTTACTTGCATGTGTCTAGTATATTTTTTTATGTCAACATAAAAGCTGTTTACTCCAAAACAGTGAAGAAGTAAATATGACTTTGAATGTCTCCCATTTTGAGAAACTCTCTTAACATATTTGACACCTGTGGCTTTGGATGTAGTGGTGCTTAAGTTCCAAACCAGTTACACCCAACCTGATCACACTCATGGAATGATGACTTACTTATTATTTTCATTTAGCTCCTGAAGTATTGTCGGATGTATAAAGACATGTCAACACGATTGTGGAAATCAACAACAATAAATTATTACAAATTACATGAAGGGCTCTCCAGTACATTTTTTCATTATAAATTTAACAAAAATTTACAAATCAATATATGTGTGACACAATTCCAATTTTTGTCATAATTGCTGCTGAAATCTTAAACATGATCAGTTACTGTATACCAGGTAGCCACTAATTAGCTGTTAGGGCGTTTAACATTGTATTCAATATACTCCACTAGTACTATTTATGCATGCTGCCTAATCCACTAGTCATTACTTTATATCACTTATTTCTGTATTAATTCTTAGGAAACTACTCTTTAAATAATATTTCCAGAGATAATTACTATCAAAATTGAAATAACATCCTCTCAATTATGATTTCAATTATTTAAGAATAAAAACTATAGGCATATAGTTCACTCAAAAATATGGTGATTTACAATATTTATTTGCAGAAGGTTATAACTTAATAAAAATAAATTTAATCTTAAAATATCATCAGCTAAAATTGCACATTTGAAGTTTAATTACAATTAAGAAAAAAGTTACAGCTACTTAGAGAATTAAACAGCAAACATTGCAAGGTAACATGTATGTATAGACTTCAACAAAAGGCATCCCACTAAACCCTGACAAGACTCAATATTAAATGTATGCAATGTAATGGCAACCTTTTTAATAATATGGAATGTTCAAACAGCTAATATACTATAGCGTTTTTACGTTTTGATTCTGTCTGTCATTTTCATTTTCCACAAAATCATCAAAGAGACTAGGCCAGGCTTCGGTGTCATCATACGAGCCTAGGTCGTCACCGACCTGCTCAGTGAAATTGAGAAACATGTCCCAGGTATCCCGTGGGATGCCCCGGATATTTGGATGGACATCTAGAAACTCAAGCCACCGCTGTACTATAGGGGGTTCTGTCTGTGAGAAGACCAGCTTCCAAAGACTGATTGTCATATCAATGGGAAGTGTTCTTTGTCCCGACTCTGCATCCAGCCCAAACTTGTAGGTCCATCTATACAGATCCTTGAAGTTTTGCTTGTCCTTTACTTCTGTTAACAAGTCTGTAAACTTACTCTGAATACCTTTGATGGAGTCTGATTTTATTGCTTTGCAACCATTGACAAACTCCTCTCTTGTAAACTTGCACATTGTCTTGGCCTGGAACTTCCATGCTAGCACCAACACTATAAATTCATCTGGATTTACATCTAAATCTGCACAGAATTTTTCTATACCTTCAGCTAATATTGCATCCTCCCCTGGGTCCTTGTATTGCTCAAACAGTGTTTGTATCTTACTTTCAGAGTAGTCCCTAGATATGAAAGATAATCTTTTGTTATCGCCATTGCTATGTTTTTTGATTGGCGGTAGTTTTGGGTATGGTGTGAACATTTTTTTGTCTGAGATTGGTTGAGGCTGCCTGCTGGAGGTTAGATGACTGAGGACATCCCCACCCCCAGCATCTGAATTGAGGGCCTGGGGCTGGGAGCCTGCCCTGCCCCGATAAGTCCCTGCTGCGGATGCTGACCGTGGTGTACTGGAGTACCTAGAGCTGGTCGAGGTTCCAGGGGTCTCACAACAAGATTGACACTTTCCCATTGGAAATTACTCCGCTGACAATTGTATACCTAGAATAAACAGAGTGAAAAATGCAGAAACAAATTTATATAGATAATTCATTTTAAATGTTCAAGTTAACATACATATATCCAATCACTATTTTTCAACACTTTTTCAAAACTTGGTTAAAAAAAAAAATTGTACATATATATATGTATAAGCACATACAATGTGGATGCACAATATGTATCGTCACTACTGACTTTATACATTATAAGATCCCTAAAAACATTTCATTCCTGGTATTAAATTGATGACCAAATCATTTTTTCCCAATCAAGCTTGCCAATAGCATGAGAAAACAGACAGAATCAATAATATGAAGAAATAGGATGCATTAATTATTCAATTGACGAAGAGGTAAGATACATAGGAAGGAGCTATTGACAGCTACATCATCAGGCAATCCTCCACTCACAGGATATTGTCATCATCTGAACACACCCTGGTCTTCATTTTACCATCAGATAATTCAAATTTGAACCAAGGAAAATTCATACCAACATACAGTTCTCTAGCTAAAGAAAACCTTTTCTAAATCACAAACAACTTAATATAAACTCACTAAATTTGTTCTTCATAGCAAAGGAATTCTTAAATAAGTCCTGTTGTTTACCTTCAGAGATTATTCAGGTGTTCTAGCTGTTAAAATAATTATCACCTCCAGTGAACACAGGGAATTTATACAGACACTCTACATCCATGTGTTCAACCCAAGAGAATTCATACAATACTGCTGGTCATGCCTCTCATCATCCAGGAGGAAAACAGCCTTTCTTTGCAAAAAGACTTTCTGGTCCTAATGATGCCTTATACCAACGATAAACTGTTCACAGGAGAGGTAGGTTATGAATTACTTCAACTCTTAAATTATCCCCTTATAGGCCCAGGCCCCGGGGGAGCTTCCTTCTTCCTTTACATAACAATTGAATCCCAGGTCCATAGGTTGAGATCTGTTTTTCTCTTACCCTGGACAGGTGTATCCACACTTTTACCAGTGTGAGATATCCTTGTCTTACCCTAGAGTTGAGACGGAGGATTCCCCAATTCATAATAACAGTATGACGCCACGTCAACAATCCATCAACGTCTTGTCAACCCTGAATTTAGCCTGTAACATTAACATTGCATTTTGTATATGATACATAATGGGTGAACAGGGTAAGAGAAAAATAATCACTCACCCCCATGAGGGTGAGATAGGGGAATCTAAACCCTTGCGGAAAGATTCTTAAGTTGCCAAACACTTGTCAAAGCTTCATGTTTTGCAACTTAAGAAATTTCCCCCTCGGGGGATGAGAGATTCTATTAATGTTTGTGTATGGTTAAGGAATAGAATTTTCTTGGGTAGGGGCAGTCTTCTAGCCTAGTCCTATGAGCATACATCTATTTTAAAATTATGTTCCAAGAACTTAATGGTAACTAATGGTAGAGACACACACAGTCAAACCACATGTAACTAATGGTAGAGACACACAGTCAATCCACATATAACTAATGGTAGAGACACACACAGTAAAACCACATATAACTAATGGTAGAGACACACACAGTCAAACCACATGTAACTAATGGTAGAGACACACAGTCAATCCACATATAACTAATGGTAGAGACACACACAGTAAAACCACATATAACTAATGGTAGAGACACACACAGTCAAACCACATATAACTAATGGTAGAGACACACACAGTTAAACCACATATAACTAATGGTAGAGACACACACAGTTAAACCACATGTAACTAATGGTAGTGACACACACAGTTAAACCACATGTAACTAATGGTAGAGACACACACAGTCAAACCACATATAACTAATGGTAGAGACAGCCAAATCACACAAGTAATGCATTATACAACAAACAAGCTTAAGCATGTGCAGGTCTTCATTGTTCAATTTTATCAAACAGAAGATCAAAGATATTCCTTAACTCTTGTAGTAACTCTGTGGTATTACATTAATAGGGTAAACTCTGACCAACGAAACATACAGTGTACAATAGTAATTACTCATCTGTGTAGATAACCTTCATCCATCAGCATTCATAGTAAATCAAGTGCAACTAATACAATGGGCACATGCATGTCCTACAATTAAGGTGTATACATGAGATGGAGTTAATCCCCTACATCCTGTGAAAGGCAGCTTATCAAACAGCCACCAGTTACAATGATGTCTGTGAAGTACAAGTAAACACATTGATTTTCACTCATCAATTTTTACTTCCTCCATTATTGCCAATGTGTATTGGTATTGAGTATGAATGGTTCCAGAACTCCTGTCGCAATGAACCTGGGTCCTTCAGGAATATATTTTGTACAAGGGCTGTAGGACATATTTGTCATACTACATACAACAGTTTTTATCTCATGAAAACAGTATTTTTTAACACTGCAGTCTACTTTTAAGATTTAGTTAATATATTACTGGCATAGTTTTAATTAAAATGGTGTTTTTTAAAATATTAATGTTGGAGTCCACAGCATAACTTTAAATAAAGTAATCTTTTTTATACTAGTTTCCGAAGTACATATCTAATAGCCTTGTTAATCATTCAACTAAGATCTGTTGCAATTAGACAGAAGAATGAGCATTTTCTGAACTTGAAAAATCCAATCCAAATACCAAGTTTTTATCTTCAATGTCTTAATCAACTGTACTGTACAATCATAAAAAAAACCCAGAAAATGGGTCATTTTCTGAAACTATCTTAAAGTCTCAGACATATATGCACTACAAAATACTGGAGTCATATATGTGATAAATATTTGAGGATTTGAACTCATACGACCAATGACCCCCAAAATAGAAAGATATATCAAACTCTACACAAGTGAACTTGTATGCCCTTTCTGAGTGTGAATGACAATCCCATAATACTATCACAGAAAAGTAATCATTAAAGGGAGCTTCTAAAAGGAAGGTACAAAATAACAAGAATTAAACCACCATCACTAGCTGTGATTGTACCTGATCCTGGTGAAATTCTAGCTAAATCCTCCATCACAGGAGCCATACGCTACCCAATACAGAATGTATCAGAAAAGCAAGAATTGGATTCCATCTAATCATCAGGACACTCCTAGTGATTGTGTTATTTCTGTATTTAATCTAAACAAACACACCTCTGCCATATATGAAGCCACAATGTAAAACATGTCTGCCATAAAACTCAAATGTATGCAACACAGCTCTTCAATTTACAGCCACAGTGTATACAATTCATCTCTGTTTGAATAGCCACAGTGTATACAATACATCTCTGTTATTTATAGCCAAAGTCAAACAACAAATCTCTGCCATGAATAGCTACAGTGTATATTCAAAGCATCTCTGCCATGAATAGCCACAGTGTATACAACACATCTCTGCCATGAATAGCCACAGTTTATATTCAAATCATCTCAGCCATGAATAGCCACAGTGTATACAACACATCTCTTCCATTTACAGCCATATTGTATACAATAAATCTCAGCCATGAATAGCCACAGTGTATACAACACATCTCTTCCATTTACAGCCATATTGTATACAATACATCTCTGCCATGAATAGCCACAGTGTATACAACACATCTCT